GACCCCCTTTTCTCTCTATCGCAGCATGTGTTGGAATATCAGTGCATAGCTTCAGTGCTCTGTTATTCCGTAGGTATACCCTCACTTAGTTGTGTGCATCTCTATGGGTATGTCTCGTCCGTGTCCGTGTCAGTGCTGTCGAGTCGAGCTGTGTATGACTTCGTAAAGTTGATGGACTTACTCCGTCATGTCGCCATGCAGTCTCGATCTCATTTAGACATGCAGAAGCTCTGTTTGAGTAGCATAGATAAACACCGTTTTAATTAGGCTTATGAACGGGGATTTCTCTCTATGTCTATAAGCTCTTGCCAGCCTCAGCAGCATCAGGAAGAAGATCGCCGGTGCGATTCGGGCATGCGAGGCAAATGCCTTGGCGTTGATCAGGCCGAAGTTGGGGCATCGTGAGCACCGGGTCTAATGTTAGGCTTGTACATGCTACAACTATGTGTATGTGTATGTGTACGTGTGTGTTTGTGCCTGTGGGGAAATACACACACACACTCTCTCTCTCTCTCTCTGCAGACACACATGAACTGCACACGTGTGTGTGTGTGTGTATGTGTGCAATCGTAATACATCTACACTTCCGAAATGTATAGTTTTGTGAATTAACATGCTATTATACTGAATGATATGTTAGTGTATGTGTGTATGTAGACGCGATGGGTGTGTGTAGCTAGATGTAAGCATATATATATATAATATGTGTGTGTGTGCTTGCTCTGGTATGTTGTGTGCATGTGTCATACGACATGTACTGTCTGCAATGCTACCAAAGTCCCTGTATCAGTCACTGGCTGGACTTAGGAAATGAAGTTGATTTTCTCACAGGTGCGGGTTGCATTACATGTGCAGAATGGTCTACTGTATGCAGAGGCGATCGAGATACGGCGGTGACGACGAGTACTATGTTCAGGTGAGGGAAACGGGAACCCGTGAACTTGCAGAAGAGCGCGAGGAGAAGATCTCCCAGACCACCCAGGATCGAGACATTATGTACCTGTGTACCAGCATGCAACGTATATATTGATGTTGTGCATTTATGTATAGAACTCAATACATGCTCCTGTGGAGGAGCATCGTGCGGCACTGGAAAGTGGAGACTTTGCAGGCTTGGACGAGCTCAGAAACCGTCAGGCCGGCCAGCTGGCGCCTGCGGTCCAAGTCGCCAGTGAGGCTGGGCATGAGGTACACGCATGATCATCCTCAGCTGTGCGTTCTAGTGTTGCTACATCACCGATCGACATCATCAGGCCACCAAAGCCAAAGAGGTTTTCCGCAAATACATTGACAGTGTGCTGGCGAAGAGTGCCAAGCTTCGTGCCCTGATTCGTGATATCTGCAAGACCTATGACGACCCCCTGGCCGTGAAGAGACCTGCTTCCATATAACAACATGGTCCGGGAACTCCTATCCAGCCCAGCTCGAACTATATAGACCCACACCATCCCATTGCCGAGGAGCGTCAACACGTTGGAGGCCGACGCTGCAATCTTGGATCAGGTGTACAGCGAGCTTACGGACATGCAGGCCAAGGGGGAGATGAAGGATCATGACCCCCAGTTGCTCAGCTGAAATCGTAATGCAATGTGTACTCCATGATGTAAACTTAACCCAACCTTCTTGATCCTGTCTGCCGTTGGAGAGCAACGTGTGTTGCCACAGTGTACATGAATGACTGGAGAGTGAACATCTGCTTTCAAGCGAACATAGTGCCCTGTTTCTATGTCCAGGACAACCAAATATTACATAAACCTAAAAAACCTTAATCCTGCATAAGCCATTAATCAACATCATATGTCACCCCATGAAACTGGCATATGTATATAAGTCCGGAAAACAACAACCCTAGCAGCCCGGGAGTCCAAACCCTAGCAGCCCTAAATCGTTCGCTCACGGACGAGGTGCTGGGGTTCTATCTAAACTGGCGCTGAACATGTGCACACTAGCCGTAGCTGCACATCGGCATCCTGACCACTCTTTCCTTGTCTTTGAAGTCTCTACTGGGAGTATAAGGTTTACATTTTCTTGGGCTCGCTGAGATTGATCATCCTCTTTGGTTTAATAGTGTTTATATATATAGGGCTTACATAGGGTTTGTAATTGCAAAAACAAAGATGGAGAGGGTGTATATAAGGTTTCTGTATTAGAATCGTTTAGGAAGTACAGCCCGCATAACCTGTACAGAAATGTTCTGTAAATTGTGATTGGGGGTATACGAATTGAAACAGTAGGGTTTCCAGCATTCCTTCAGAATAGGTATCTGCCCATCCTGTCTGAACAGTGCCAAGTCCCCGAAGCACCGAGCTCAATGTTGCCACATGCAGCTAGGTAGTTCCTGGGGGAGGTGGGTCTAGGTGGCTTTGCGGAAATGGTATTCATGTGATTCGAATTTATGTTCTCTAGCTACGAAGGTTTTGCAAACAGGCACTTTTGGGTTTGCACCTATATGATGGATCGAGAGGTCTACGGTAGCTGATCAAAGTTGTGTTAGCTTCGGGTGTGGTAACTACAATGCTAGTACGACTCTGTGGGTAAGATAATGGCAAGTGGCAGGTGCTCTATCGAGATGTGATTCAGATTCGGGTTTGGACAACTAATATGTGCATGTGCCCACTAACATACCATGCTACCTGTCTTCTTCTAGGGAATGCTCTTGTACAATCTATAAGACGGCACTCTGGGTTGATGCACACATGCACGTGTTGCTAGTTCATTGTTCATCTACTCTTACACAGGGCTATGCCACAACACGTGTCTAAGTTTCTATGTATATAGATGTATGTAATGACAGGTGTGTATCTGTATGTTAACATGCACTGCTGATACGACGTACATGTGTAAAACTGGTGTAGGTCGTGCTGACGAACATGATCTCAGGTGGCGCAAGGAAAGCGAGGCCATGATGAAGGACACGACTTACAAGCAACCGGGCTGAATGACCGACCCAAGCTGAGGCACTGCTGTAGTCTTTTCGCTGTTCACAGCCGCAGAAGCCCAGGTGTGCCAAAGTGGTGTCGAACGAGAACAAAGTGAAGACAAAGCCTTAGCTTGGACAACATGTCATTGCCTGGACCTATAGAACCCCTGTAGATGCCTTCAATACCTCGTCAGACCCGTACTTAGGACACCCAAGTGAACCCAACAAACAACAGCATATCAGCCTGAGGAGTGCGAAGCGCCACTTCAAGAAGAAGCCGGAGCTTAACGAGTCATGATTGGCTGGTGCATGAGCAGCCTAGATGATGACAACTGTGCGCCTTTCGCACAGCACATTTCTGCAAAAGCTGACTGTTGCTGTCCTGCTAGTTTTAGAACAGCCACCACTGAAAAGGCCCAAGCCTCCATATCTTTCCAGAATGCAGATGGGGATCAGGAGCAGCTGCAGCAGCTGCCTGAGCGAGTAAAGCTGGGCAACCAGTTTGTTTTGTCTGTCGCTCTGTGCTACATGTCGCTAGCTACGGCAGGCCCTTGCAAGTCGGTTCCTGTGGATTGGCAAGGGTGAAAGCTCGGAGTGTGTCACAGAAAAGAAGCTCAACAATATGGATGCAGTCTACATGTTGTGAAGCACTCACTGGTTGTGAACATGCCAGGTCATGGCCCAGTTGCTCGCCGGATGGCCAAGAACGTGGGCAGCGGCGCCAACTCCTTAGACAACCCACGAAGTCTGTGGAGCCCTTACCGTTTACCCTATATCCTGAACGTAAGAGGTTATATAGGGTTTAGGGTTTGATCTAGGGTTTATATATATATATATAGGGTTTAGGGGTCAGGGTCTTCGGGCTTCGGGGTGTAGGGGCTTGGGGCTCAAGTGGGGAGAGGCCTTATAAGGGTGTTAAGGGTCTTCAGAGTTTTGAGTTCAGAGTTTATTTAGGGGTTGCAGGGTATTTCTTCTATGAGGGTACACGTTGTACTCTTGCTGTGTGTAGTTGTTCGTACAATGGGTGCAGGGATCGAGTAGCTTACGTGAGACGAAGTAGCCCGATACCAAAACACCTAGTACTTCAGACATACAAAGACCATCGAATAATGGTGTGCCTTAACTACCCCTTGTTGATATATGCAAACTCCTCTGACCAAGTTGTGTGAATGCTCCATGTGCATGCATGTGGCGCCTATGTGTGCAAGCCAGCCTGAGAAGGGCCCGAGGGATGTACATTCAGTGTGTTGGAAGATGTGTGCAGATTGTTGTTCAGGTCTACTGATCATAAATGTTTACATATGTTGTATACATGCATATGTATATGCAGCCTCAAAAATACTCAACAAAGAGACAGACAGAGAGTGTGTGTGTGTGTGTGACAAGGAAAGATTAACACTGGCAGTGTTTTGCCGACGTTGTCTGTGTACATGTATATGGAGATGTACACATACATATACTAAGATTTCCCAAGATGTGCTAGCAACGATTAGTGATACTCAGTTGCACACTCCTGACAGGAACACACTGCCCTAAACACAAGCTACTCATGCATCCTGAAAAGGCTCGCGCATGGCTCATCCCATCGTCAAAGCCACTGGCACGACCCACATTGGCTCTCAGTTGCGATCCTGTCTATAGTTCCTGCTGGTGTGCCATGTCATCGTCTAGTCACATCTTGTGCACGTATCTAGAATCATGTGGGCCTACTTGTGCTGAAACTTGTGTTGTATTCCTGTACATGGCTTCGTGTAGGTAGTGTGTGCGCAGGGCCTTGATGATACACATACATACGTATAGACATATATATATATATATATTTACATATATAAATATATGTACATACACTATAGAAATATAGAGTGGCAAGCTTGTATATGGACTTTGTACATATACATCTATAGGCATGTCTATAATATAGAGATACATATTACATGCATATCTATATATATATATATATGTGTGTGTGTGTACGCCTATCCTGTAGACACACACACATATATATATATATACATATGTATGTATTAATACACATTTTAAGTATGTATGTATACATGTATGTATGTACGTATGTCTGTTTGTTTGTTTTGGGTCGGCTGGTCTTACAACATTAAGCTGCCGAATGTCGACTCCTAGTGATGAGACGACTGACGATGAGCTGGTGGATTTGCTTTCCTGCCACCGCTCAGAGCCCTGTCAGGAAGCTTAGAGTTTCGGTCTTTCCGCAACTAAATTCAGCCTGATGAAAGCTTCTAACATTCGTTCTGGGTTTCTTAGACCCATTTATGTATACTATCCACGTGCAGATTTATAGGACACTTATGTTGCCAATGGTCAGCTATATGTCGTTTTAGCTGGGCAGAACCGTTTGTTGGGATTGTAAAGGCCATCCTTGTAAACGAGGCTAGGAAAGCTCTTGGCATTTTCAGTGATTTTCAGTCCTACATTATGAACGCTGTTGTATGGGACCGTGACACTACGAGGGACTCTGTTTATAGCCCAGGTAGCAAATCATGAAGATTTAGGTTTCGCAACTTGCAACAATCATACCAGTTCGTCACTAAACAATCTTGAAGTAAAACTCATTGTTAGTTAGAATCGGACCATAATACTAGCATCCTCAAACCGAACTGGGCTCAACCAATGCATTGTTGATAGTTCCCTTGTGAAGCCCTTTGAAACCTACACAAGTGCCTCCTGAGTTTATAAAAGTTTGCAAAACCGAACATGTCCGCAACGCACAGCGACAATCCGACTATGTAGTGGCCGCCTCTCAAATAGACCCATGTCGCTATCTTATATAAGTCCTATGGTACAATCACGCCGTGGTTGCGGTTCTCTTGGTATTCGGAACGTCCTGCGTCATTCCCATCTAGTAATGTATAAAGTGTCTGAAGCATCTGAGGACTCCCTCGGACCATATGCATGGGACACAAATCGGAAAAGACATGTGGATGTCAATGTGGGCCCGGCAGGGAATGGAGACATCTCGGCTAAGAACATTGCTGGCCTGGATCTATCAATTACCTCGTCGCCTCGTGCCGCTCCTGTTTTTGGGGCTATAAGACTGGATGATAAAATACACTTGCGACTGCCAAAAAACCTTGGGACACCTGGCTATGTACTTAGACATGCTATCGAGGTGTTCGAGGATCTTCACAGCCGCAGGAAACCCATGTCTTTCAAGTTCGGCTTCACACATGACCCAGTGTTTCGATGGACAAACCCCATCTATGGATATGTGAACTCTGTGCAGAAGTATGAAAGGATGGACATCCTGTATGTTTCGGATGAAGCTACAGGGCCTGGGTTCTTGGAAGCTGCCTTGGTCAATCTCTACAAAGGTGGCTGGGATGCAACGATCCGCTACATGTGCATGGCATGCGACCTTATACAAGCTGTTTTTTAGGTTGTTTTAATAATATCAAACAGACATGATACCGATGCTCATGTGGTGCATGCTCTGGGTATACTACATGTATCCTGTTTTATGTTCTCGTCATGTGTAGGCACTCTTTTAGCATGCATCTGGATATGTGTGCATATCTGGATCTGTGTGCATCATATTTGGGTATATTTACAAAAGCTTATAGCATGCTAACACATGTATGTTTCAGAATCAATCCCATCCACACCCTTATGTGAATATTAGGCTGTTCTGCCTCGTAAACTATTTTTCTATATATATATATATACATTTATGTATATACATATACATATATATATATATACCGTCTAGGCATATCGTGTGGCATTCACTTCGACTGTGTGGTTTATTTAGTTCTGTTAGCACGGCCCTGTCTCAGGACGAAGTGGCTGCCACAATGAAAGGCTGGGAGGAGACACTATGCCGAATGATGCCTCTTTGGCTGGGCCGTACTTCACATACGTTGTGTCAAGGTCTTTCAAGTATCCACCGTCGACGAAGGGATTGCACAAGCCATTGCCGAATTGACGTTTCATTTAGAAACATCGATGCTGTTTATAGTCTGCATGAAGGCAAAGCCATGCCAATTTGTGGTGGCCTGATTGCTGCCAAACAATTAAAGTTTACTTCGCAGAGTGTGTATGCCAGGCTTTGCACGGGACAACAGTGCTGCTCGCGAAAAGATCTTCAAACGGTGCTGTGTGCACAATCTATGTTTTGGCTGAGTGGCAGCTTGTGTTCCTAAGGGCGATGCAATACTTGATACGGTTTCTTTCAAAGCATGATATGTTGACGACTGTTGCCCGCCGAGGCCAGCTGCGTTTCACAGATCGAGTTTGCGCGGGCGATGACGGAGGAGTTTGGCGAGGAGGCCACTGCTGCAGCTGGAGTTCGTGAATGGGCCCAATCAGGCCTCAGCAACTCTGAGCGGGATGTGCACAGAGTCATCAAACGGCAGGGCTTGCGACTGGAGCTGGAATTCAGCCACATGCAGCTTGGGACAGAGCTCTGCATAGATTGGTTACGGCCGATGACATGGTTGAAGTATATAGTCGAACACAACCTGTGGTTTCATTTGGCAGGTTTAACCTCCCCAGACTTGAAGCAATGCCAGGCCACGTGGTCTGGATATTGGGAAAGGTTTTGTCGGCTGAACCCCGACTTCGACATGCCTGCAGGTTTTGATGCTCAGAACACAGCGGCCGTATACATACATGGCGACGAAGGTCGAACGCTCAAGAAAGCTGCTCTGATGATCATGGGGTTTCAGTCATGCTTAGGCTACGGTTGCTCTGTCAACGGTCGGACGCGGAAAAGGAAAGCCGATGGTGACATCGGTTTCCAATTGAACTATGCCGGTCACTCTTTCACGACGCGGTTTGTCACGAACATTATGTCCAAACAAGTTACAGAGTCGTCTTTCGATATGGCTGCTGGCGAGCTGGCAAAAGACTTGTCTGACTGTTTGCTGATCGGTTACACATGTGGAGGTGTGACCTATCGGCTCTGTGTGATTGCATGCAAAGGTGATTGGCCATTCCTGCTTCGTGCAGGCTTATTTACGAGACATTTTTCGCGATCTATCAAGAAGCTTGGCAACGAAGCCCGAGGGAAAGGCGTTTGCCATTTATGCATGGCTGGAACCGAAAGCTACCCAGCAGAAGAATGCGGCTACACCGACCCGAAGTGGCTGCATACGGTGCCAGCGCCCCCGCCATGGTCCAGAACACCTCCACTGCTCCGACATTTGCCAAGCTCGAGAAGCGACCCGGCCACTTTCTTTCAGCCCGACCTATGGCACACGGTGCACCAAGGGATTGGGAAATCCTTTGCAGCATCCTGCATAACAATGCTGATTTTTATTTTGCCTGTTTACTCTTGTTTGACGATGGAGAAAAGATGGGAAACCGTCGGCACGGATTATGTGTCCTGGTGCAAGGCTAACAAGAGACAAGCTTTTGTGACCAAGATCACCTCGAGCATGGTAAACTACGGAGACAGCAGTGGTGCCGTCGGCGGATGGCACAAAGGTGCGCTGACTGCAAACCTGTTGCTCTGGTTGGAGTGTGTCTTGACTCAAAACACATGCATGGGTGTGCAGAAGGTCATCATAGCTGCACGTGCTGCGCAATGCATCAACAGCATGTTTCGTTTCTTGTACAATGCTGGTGCCTTCCTGTCGATGAGTGAAGGGGCTTATGTGAGTAAGCAAGGGCTTCTCTTTTTGAGATGCTACTGTGAGCTAGCTCAGATCTTCTTTAGCGAAGGCAAACCCGCCATGTTTCCGTTAATTCCGAAACTGCATTCGCTGGATCACCTCATGCTTCGAGTGCATTTTGACTGTCACAAATGTGGCTTTTCATGCAATCCATTGGCAACTGGCTGCCAGCAGGATGAGGACGTGGTGGGACGAGTCTCACGTGTATCACGCCGGGTTTCTATCCGGCAAGTAATTCGTAGAACATTTGAACGTTATTTGGCAGGCAGCTTTGCTGTTTGGGTGGAATCTGGCCTGTTGATAGCCAAGTGAATAACACTGTGTAATGGTTAGCATGCCTTGGTCACACCTCTATATATAGAACATATAGTACCATGCTGTATTTATACCTATATATATATATACTTATGTATGTAGATAGTTTCTCTGTATATAGTCTAACTGACATATTGTTTGTGTAAGTGATTAAATACATATATATATATATACCTGTTATGATTCATATTCATATGTGCAGATGCAGATTGTCCCATCAAATGCGCATACACGCTTATATACGCACATACAAATAAAGCCAGACCTACACATGCATGCAGCTGGTATTAGAGACATAGACATGCATGCACGCATGCACCTGGACATGCATGCACGCATGCACATATCTACAACTGATTCCTTTTATGTGCATGCATATGTTGGCAACATGCATGAACATGTATGTGCAACCATGCGGGCATGCATACTACATACACGCATGCATAACCTACAGAGATACACAAATGCTCACCTACTTACCTACCTACCTACCTACCTACCTACCTACCTACCTACCTACCTACCTACCTGCCTAGCTACCTAGCCACCTACCTACCTACCAACCTAAGTACCTCGTACCTGGTTACCAACCTATATATATATATACAGACATAGCTACATACATAAACCTGCAGAGACATATCTAGCTACATATATATATATATATACCTATATGTATGTATCCAGCTATATATATATATACATATATGTATACAGACATGTAGATGTATATTTGATTGTACCTGTACATAAAAGCGATCGCGCAGCCATATACAAATGTGTAAAATATATAGATACATATGTGTGTGTGCAGACATGTGTAGATATATAGACATGCGGACACATGCTTAGCATCGTGCATATCTACGAGCAAACATATACATATATATATATATGTGTATATATATGCTACCATATATATATATATATATGTAAGCCGCTTTGTATATATATATATACATGTATACACGCTAACCTACCAACAAACCTATCTACCTACTTAATTACCTACCCGGAAACATATCTACATACACAGACACATACCTACACATGTATATGCTGTTTTAAAATAATTATACACATGCATAGGTACATTTTTGCACAAATCAACATATGCACGCATGCATTTATATGTGTATGTATGTATGTATATGTATGTATGCATGCATGTATGTATGTATGTATGTATGTATGTATGTATGTATGTGTGCATGTGCTTCTACAGAACTATTCAGAGAGAAGCATGCAGTCATGTAGGCATTATCACATGCATCGGTATACACATGCATGCATCTATATATATATATAGAATAGCAATACATATGCATACATGCAGTTCCACATACATGCAGACATGCCACAAACCATCGGTGGATGCATGCACGGCCCATGTTTTTTCTCATTCGTTCATTGTATCATTATTTGCTTGGTCTACGCAGGAACTGAATCATTTCACTTGTTTCATTCGTTGGAGTTCCATTCCTTTTCATTTCATTCCATGCCACTACATTCGCATGCACTCTCTTATCCAGGCAAGGAGTAATTCACTCCTTCGTTCCATCTTTCATACTTGCATTCCTTCTAAGCGTTTGAAAACCTCTGACTTGTGCACTCCCGTTTTCATCCTTAATCGTCATTCGTGTATGTGTTTCTTGTCAATCCATCCACCCACACATGCAGCGATTTGTTTACCGACTGAGTCACGTGTACCGAGCCGAGCTCACTGTTTACAGTTTCAGACATACAATCCTATGCCCTATGCAGCTCTATTTAAATCACTACATCCATGCAGACACATGCTTATATATGTTATCATGAAACGTCATCTCGCATCGTTTAACTCATAACATGCCATGCCACTCGAGTCCATGAGGTTAGGGTGTGTATTCCTTGTATCGTTGGGTCCTACTTGCAAACCTTTATCATGTCATTTTGGTTATTCATTAAAGACCTCAGTTAACCCTGTCATGATTGTACACGTATGGCAAGGTTAACATGTGTCTTATGAAATCAATGGGCCAAGAGTCTGCATGCAATTGGCGTCGACGTCGGATGCAAGGTGCCCAGTGACAACATCAAGGGAATCGAGGGCTTGGGATTCGTCTCTTGGGCTGGGGGGGGTGCTTCAGTTCTGGGTCGAGGGGATGAGTTGCTTATGTTTGCATGGCTTACCACGTCTTGTGATGTAGTTCATAAATGCATCTCACCTCGATTGAGCCCAACAGGCCTCCAAGTTAACAACCCCCAAAACATGCCTCCTAAAAACCCGGAAATTCCCTAAACCCTGGGTTTCTCAGAAAAGAACCTGGTAATCCGGAACACCCCAGAAAAAGGCAGGCAACGGTTGTAGCGAGTAAACCCTAAACCCTAAACCCTAAACGCTAAACCCTAAACCCTAAACCCGATGGAGCCGA